AGTCTGTTCAGTTTTTTAATGACCGCCTCAGTAGTGGTTGCTTTCATCTTATTGACCTCAAGCCAGTTTGAGTAGGCATCAACAGTTATTAAGAAGGTGTGGCCTCTCGTAGGTCCCGCAAAGTCAATATGAATGTGAGACCAAGGATCCCTGGGTGTTTCCCATTCTGTTGGTGGGGCTTTAGGTGGAGCTGAGTGGTTTTCCTGGCATTTGTTACAAGAGGCAACCCAGTTTTCGATTTGTTTATCTATACCAGGCCACCAGGCGTAACTTCTTGCCAGCGCTTTCATACGCACGATGCCTGGGTGTCCATTGTGTAGCATTTGCAAGACCCTTTTTTGTAACTTAGTTGGTACAACAACTCGGTCTCCCCACAAAACGCACCCTTTTTGTGAAAAAAGTTCCATTTGTCTGTTTTTAAATGGCTTAAGCAGTTCCTTAGTGTCGCAATCTGGCCATTCCCTCTCCACCCAGCCAAGAACTCATGCCAAACAAGAGTCTTTTTTTATTTCAAAGGCGATGTCTTGAGCCGTTAGTGGAGGCGATGGTATTGTCTCTATTTGCAGTACCGGGAGTGTGGGAGCTGGGTCTTCCTGTGGCTCCGGTAGCGGTGAGTGGCTCAAGGCATCTGCGTGGGGAATAGATTTCCCGGGGCGGTATTTTAATTGATAGTTGTAGGCGGCGAGAAATTCTGACCATTGCGTCATTCTGGGGGAGAGAATGTGTGGAGTAGGTTTGTCGCCCGCCAGGATCCCAAGTAGTGGCTTATGATCCATTATAATAGAAAACGGTCTCCCATAAACATATTCACGAAATTGTTTTATTGCAGAGACAATAGCAAGGGCTTCCTTATCTAATTGGCTATAGTTTCTTTCTGTTTTTGAAAGAGTTCGTGAGAAAAATGCAATTGGTGCTTCTGAGCCGTTTGGTAGGACGTGGCTCAGGATGGCCCCTACCCCAAATGGTGAGGCATCACACGTGACAGTCAAAGGTAGTGTCTCGTTATACTGAATTAGTACTGCCTTTGAGGTAAGGAGGTCTTTTACTTGCTGGAAGGCGTGTTCCTCCCGACGTCCCCAATTCCAGAATGCCCTTTTATCGAGTAGTCTATGAAGGGGCTCAGCAACAGTCGCCTTCTGGGGTAGGAAGATGTTATAAAAGTTAATAAGTCCCAGGAAGGCTTGGAGGTCGGTTTTGTTTTTAGGTCTTGGGGCGTTTTTGATAGCTGCCATTTTTTTTTCTGTGGGGTGGATTCCTTGCTTGTCAAGGAGGTAGCCAAGAAACTCCACCCTTTCTGTGCAAAGCTGGCACTTTTCCTTCTTAACCTTGAGGCCAGCATTTTTGAACCTCTGTAGGACTGTTCTGAGATGTTTTTCTAATTGGTTTTTTGTGGGTGCTGCTATTAATACGTCATCAAAATAGGGCATGACCCCTTTTATCCCTTGTAATAGTCTCTCCATCAGGCTTTGAAAGATGCCTGGGGCTACGCTTACACCAAACTGGAGCCTGTTGCATTTGAATGCACCACGATGTGTGACTATAGTTTGGGCTTCTGCAGTCTCGGGATCAACTGGTAGCTGTTGATACGCTTGGGCCAGATCTAATTTTGTGAATATTTTGCCACCCCCAAGTGAATGCAGGAGATGTTGAACAACTGGCACTGGGTAGGCGCTCTGCTGTAGCGCGTGGTTGAGGGTGGCCTTGTAGTCACCGCAGATTCTTATGGACCCATCAGGTTTTATGGGGGTGACAATTGGTGTCTCCCATCGGGCGTGGTCAATAGGTTCTAACACACCTTGTGCGATTAATTTGTCCAGTTGCTCGTCAATTTTGGCTTTAAGAGCAAAGGGAACTCGGCGTGGCTTTAGACGAATGGTTGCTATGTCGGGGCGAAGATTAAATGAAATAGGGGGGCCCTTGTACTTGCCTAGGCTTTCGTTGAACACTTCTCGGAAGTCGTGGACGAGGGCCGCCTCCCAATCATTGTCTTCAGTATGATGGATGCCAGCCATTCCGATTCCTAATGGCGCGAACCACTGAAGACCCAATAGACTTGGCCGGTCTCGGTCTACAACGGTGAGTGGTAGAATTGCCTTATGTCCCTTGAATGAGACCTGCACATGGGGGGTACCTGCGACTGGAATCCGGTTGCCTTGATAGTCTTTTAGTATGAGTCTCTGACTGCTGAGGTCTAGGCGTCGGATGTTGGGGATTAGCTGCTTGAGTGTTCTCCAGGATACCATGGATAGAGATGACCCAGAGTCGACTTCCATGTTGCACGGTTTGTTTTCAATCATGACCTCTACTTGGATCTTTTTAGCGTCAAGTGATGAAGCGTGGCCGATGGTGATGGTTTGATGAGCATCCTCTCGTCTGGGGGCATCATTAAACCTTCAGGGTCTGCTGTACTGGTTCCACTGATTGCTAGGGCGGTCTCTCTGCATGGTGGTGTTGCCATCATTTCTCTTTGGGCTGCTCCCTCTCCGTCTGGGGCTGGAATTTCTCTTATTTCTGCATACCTTCGTGATGTGTCCCCGTTTCTCGCAAAAACGGCATATGGCATCTAAGAATCTGCATTTGGATCGGGGATGGTTTCCCCCACATCCGGTGCATTGGTAGTTGGACTTGTGACCCCACTGGTCCTGTTGCTCACGTTCTGACCGGAGCCTGTGGACTTCTTCTTCCTCGCTGTCTGAGGATGACTCGACGTCTTCGTGATGGGTGGTTGATGTGTACTGTCTGAAGGTTTCCCAGCATCATTGGTGGGTTGGCGGTTGGTCCCGCTGGTTTGACGCATTAGTGCTGCTGATTTACGAGTGGCTTCGGCTGCTGTGGTGTCTGCTATGGCATCTGCAAGCGAGATGTCCCCCTTGGCCATGATCTTGCTCTGGACGGTGGGGTCTCTGAGGCCAAGGACGATGCGATCTCTCATGGCTTCTTCGAGGTTGGCGAAGCCACACAAACCACCCAGGTTTCTCAGGTCTGCCACAAAATCCCCAACACTCTCACCTTCACGTTGGTCCCTTTGGTAGAACTCATGCCTGCGAATGAGAGTTGGCATGGCTGGGGCGTAATGGTTGCGCAGGATGGGAGCAAGGGTGTCCCAATCCATGGTTTTAACTTCAGCTGGCTTGGCTAAGGCTTTAGCCATCTTAAAAATGGCTGGTCCACAATGGGTTAGAAAAACGGCTCGTTTCTTGCTGGGCATGGCATCTTTGAGGTTGTTGGACTCCAGGAACATTTGAAATCTGTCCATGTATGAGTTCCAATCTTCGCTAGCTGGATCGAATGGTGCGGGTGGTATAGCGCTGCTGGCCATGTCGCCGTCGTTGCACTCTGTCAGCCACGTGCTCCTTTGGCTAGCTCAATTTCAATAGCTTTCATTGCCTCCACATCCCATCCTCGTCACCAGTGTTATATCTGGGAGGACAGTTCAAGAACGGAGGCAAGACTCAGATAGTAACTAAAGCTCTTTATTTGTGACTTCAGATCTGAGCAACTAACCCCAGCCGCAGCAGCCCCTTATATAGGGCTGGCTGCGGCTAGGCAGCCAATGAAGGCGATTTGAGTTTGCCACTCTTGGCAGGGCCAATCGCGGCAGCCCTTTTACTGGCCAATCGCATCAGTCTATGGCGACCAATCACGATCGGCTTTCAGCGGGCCAATCAGATTTGCAGGCTACAAGCCTGCTAGTCCGGAACATTTCCCATTGCCACTGGCAGCATCAATTTTACCCCCTTTGCTAATCAGAAATTTCTCAGTAAACTCCTATACACACATGCACGTGTTTCTTAAAATAATTCTGCTAGTGCAACATCGATCCCATGTTCTCCTTCATTCCAGCAATAGGAAGCATTATATTAATATATCTACAAGTACCTCTAATATTAACTACAGAACCTCTTGTATAATTCTGTCTTCAAGCATTGCAATTGCTATTCTGGTGCTGAGTTATTTGAGCATTGAAAACATTCATACTGTAGTCCTTAGTTTGCTGCTAGCTACAATTATGCATAGGTAGTAATAAAATCTCACTAGAATGAACGGAAACAGGTGAGTTCAATTGGTCATATATTATTTTGGGTACCTCTTTTTTTAAAAAAGGTCTGCTTCTTTATTTTTCTCTTTCATGAAGTTCTGATATGAGTTCCATTATGTTTGTTGAGTTTTAAAAAATTGGTGGCTGCAGAAGGGCATATTCACAGATTATGCCAAAACATATTTTATGACAGTGGGAATGGTTTATTCACACATGAGTGATGAAAACGGGCTCCCAAGCTCCATTTTCAGCTTCAATGGCTTCCTGCAATCCTCTTCCAGCGAAAACAGAGCTCAGCGAGGCTGCCCACGGTCCTCCCGAGCTCTGTTTTCACTGGCAGAGGCACTGCGGGCCAGTCCTTCCCTGTTTCCAGGGCAGCCCCGCAGGCCAGATCTCAGGCCTTGATGCCCCTGGTTTAGACTATGGTTGTCCAAACCTTTGGCTTGCTTGAGCTGCATTGAGTGAAGATAAATTGTCTTGGGCTGCATAAATAATATAACTGATGCATATAAATCACAAAATAATGTTAAACGTTTACAAACTTGTAGGACCATATGACTAGCTGTCCAGAGCTACATGCATCCTGCGAGCCAGCCACAAGTTGGACACCTCTGCTGGATGTCACTATATTGTTTTTGCATTGCATAAAACTAGGCCTGGAAACTTTATGATTCATGTGTTTATGTAGTCAAACATCCCTTCTTTCTCAGACTTTAGAATACCTGGCTAACTTCAAACCGCTTGTGTTATGCTTAAGTAAAAAAAAGTCTTCTCTGTCAAGGTGACAATTTGAATGCCTTGCAAAAGAGACTGCTAGAAAGAGGGGAAAACATCATATCATTAGCAAATTCTCTCTTGTGTTACTGTGGACAGAAGGGGTGGGTTTGCAATTACAAACCTGTGCAAAAATGCAATGGGGCTGGACAGCCAGGATCATTGCTGACTGATCAATTCGGGGGACCTTGAGCTCTCAATCATTTGATGGAGGATAGGTTCCTCAGTGTTTGGCACATGTATGTTGTGGTCATTTATATCACCTACCTATTTGTATTTCCTACCTAGTGCAGGATGTGTGAAACAACAGTATGCATGTCAGGCTAAGAAAAATTCTACAGCTATCATAAAACTAATGAATTACATTTTCTCTGTATTGGTAAGATTTTTGTACCATTGCAAAATGCTTATCTGAAAAAGTCTTTTCTCACAGTGACTTTTGTAATAATTTAAGAGGGTTTTACAGATTGCACAAGGCAATATAGAATAGAATTCTTTATTGGCCAAGTGTGGCTGGACACACAAGGAATTTGTCTTGGTGCAAACACTCTCAATATACATAAAAGAAAAGATACACTTGTCAAGAGTCAAGAATCATAAGGTACAACACATAATGATAGTCATAGGGTACAATAAGCAATCAAATCATACTAGGAAACAGTCAATATAAATCGTAAGGATACAAGCAACAAAGTTACAGTCATACAGTCACAAGTGGGAGGGGATGGTTGATAAGGAGTGATGAGAAGATGAATAGTAATAGTAGTGCAGACTTTGTAATAGTTGAACAGTGTTGAGGGAATTCTTTCTTTCGTAGAGTGATGGCTTTCAGGGAAAAAATGTTCTTGTGTCTAGTTGTTCTGGTGTGCAATGCTCTATAGCATCATTTTGAGGGAAGGAGTTGAAACAGTTTATGTCTGGGATGTGAGGGGTCTATAAATATTTTCACAGCCTTCTTTTTGACTTGTGCAGTATACAGGTCCTCGATTGAAGGCAGGTTGGTAGTAATTGTTTTTTCTGCAGGCCTAATTATCCTCTGAAGTCTGTGTCTGTCCTGTTGGGTTGCAGAACCAAACCAGAGAGTTATAGAGGTGCAGATGATAGACTCAATAATTCCTCTGTAGAATATGATATAAATAGTGACTAATCGGCTATCTCTTATAATTCATGCACCTTAAGAAGGCACCTCCCAGAACAATAAAAAGCTGTTTACTTTACTTTTATCCATGTAACTCATTGAGTCCATTCAGAACTAATCTATCCACATGAATACAAGGTTTTTCTCTAGGGTCTTCCTAGAATTTGGCTTGCAACCACAATAAATAATTTGGTTTGGGACTTGCACACTTCAGTCACATCAGAAAGGAATCAGATTGAAGGAGTTTGGTCTAGGTTGTGTCCAGATTCCTGCAGTCATTGCAAATAGAAAGTAAAGCAAAATTTGCTCTTGTGCATATAAAAGAAATTCCTGGATATACTTTGTATGCATTACTAGTCCCATCTAACCAGTTTTCCTAGCTTGTGTATGGATTAATATCAGTTCCAATAAGTTTTACACAATTGGAAGTGCAGCAAGAAACAAGAAATATGACATTTTGTGTATAGTGAACAGATACAAAATGAATGACAGCCATCTGGACAATGCCTCCTGTAATATTCCAATCTTTAATTCTCCAGAAAGATTAGTTTTGTATTATCAAGGTTCAAAGAGAAAGTTCCTGTGATAATTGTTTTAACATGGAAAAATGTCTGCCTCTTTGCCATCAATACCTAAAGTCCTTCTAGTAGTTCAGGTATATCCAAATTTCTATGACATAATGGGTAAACTTTACAAAGAAGCAGTCAAGGAATATGTGGCAAAGAAGGATTGTCTTTCCTTTTAGCTGTTGTACAGTTGAAAGCACACTAGACAGTTAAGAATTTAAGATAATAGATGTGGGGGAATTTACTTGCCTTAACCCCTGTCAATTATAAGATGCATTACAAGTGGAAACAAGTGTGGACTGCTAGAGCAGTGTGGGCTAGCTTGCCAAAGCACACAGTGTTAGGATTCCGTTCGTGACACAAGGGTGGTAAGGGAGGTGGAAATCTGTAAGAGATGGAGAAAGGGAGGACAGCTGGAGTTGTTTTTCTATCATCTTGGTCACAGTAACTATCACTGTGTGGGACCTCCTATGAAAGTGCTCATTAATTTCAAGCTAGGAGGAGAAAGACAAAACAAGAAAAACAGGGCCTTCAGTTTTTGATGAAAAGAATGTGTTGGCAAAGAATGTATATCTCCAACAAGAGGCAGTCCTCTAGGAGAATCCAGCTGGATTCCTTCCTTCCTTCCTTCCTTCCTTCCTTCCTTCCTTCCTTCCTTC